TTAACATATTTACAATATAATTCACAATAAAATAATATTAATAATATTAATATTAAGATTATTTTTTGTTATTTTTAATATTATTTAATATTATTATTATTATTATTAAATTATATCCATGATATATTGAAATATATATTGATATATTAAAATACAAAATATTGAAATTCATAATTGAAAGTTTTTATTACAATAATTATATTATAAATATAATAAATTAAAAAATACTTTCTTTTAAACAAATATTAAAATAATCAGTATAGTTAATTATCAAAAAATATTATATATCCATATTTTTATTAATAATTTCATTATAAAATATTTGTTAATAAATTTTATAAAATATTAATTATATTATTAGTATTATATTATTAAATACTGTTAGTATCTAAAATCAATATTATAATATTTATTTAATTATTAATTCTGATTATATATTCTGATTGCATCACATATTCCTTATTTATATTTAAAAATCTTTTATATATTATGAGAACATTAATAATTCTTTTTTTATTTATCGAAATTATATAATTTCTATATTATAAAAATTTATATTCTTAATGTTTTTAACTTACTTAAAGATATATATATTTTTCATAAAAATTGTTTTAAAGACAATTCAAATTTCCATATAGAAATTATATAGAAGCCTAAATAAGCTTATATAATTATTATGCGATTGTTATTGTCATGAAAACATGTAATTATAATAATATTTATAAATTATTTTAATTTAATTATATCATATTAAAATGAATATAATAATATGAATGAATATACTAAACATTTAAATATACATAGTATTAATTATTTGTCTGAAAAAATAATATTAATTTCATTAATTAAATATTTTAGATAATTTTATAGAGAAATATTTTTTCTAACATTAATATATAAAAAATATAAAATATAATAAATATAAAATATTATATAAAAAAAATAATTGAAATATGTATAAATTTATAAAATACAATTGTTATGAATGACTTATTATTATGAATATAAATATTATAACTAAAATCAGGTATTATACAATATTAATATATTATATATATAAAATAATTTATTGAAAAAAAATGAATTTTTATTCTTATGATTAACATAAAAGAAAATTTATAATAAAAATGTATGTTTTATAAAATAATTCTTAAATTTATTTTAAATTCTTTTTTATTTTAAATTTATATATATCAGTGCTAAAAAAAATTGAAATAATATCAATGATAATCAGTTTCATTCTTGTAACAAGTTGTATTTAAATAAATAAATTATATTTAAAAAATGTAATTATTAAAAAATATTATTTTATAATTTTATAATGCGTATCTATTTTATATCAAACAATATTAAAGTATTTCTAAAAATGAATTTATTATAGAATTTATTTGCAAATGTTCAATATCTACAATTCAAAAAATATGTTAATTCTATAGACTTTAATCTCGTTTTTATATCAGTATCAGCAAACGGCTTTAGAAAGAACTTCCGTTAATATCAGCATTTTTAAGGTAATAAGCATTAATTTTTAATTATTAAATACGTCAAAATATTAATAAAAATAGTGAAAAAATGTATGAAAATATTAAAATTGTTTAATTAATCGAAATTTTGAAAATCGGTTAATAACAATAGTCGTTATAATCAAATATCAACAAATTTAAAAAATTAAAAGTACACGTAAGTATTCTGATGTTGATACAAATTCAATGATTTATTGGAATTAAAAAAACTATATAACAAAAAATAAATAAATAATAAATAATCTTATTATATATTTATTATTTATAAATTCTAAACTTTATAAAAATAACTACTCATTTTATGATTAATAATAAAAATAATTAATTATATAGTAACGTTTCTCCACGTATTCAAAGAAGCAGCGAAACAAGACTCAAATTAAAAATTTAATTATTAAATATGTCATATACTGAGAATTACATACAAACTAAGTTAATTGAAGGATTAAATGCTTCACATGTGGTATGTATTTTATAAATTTTATTATATCGAATACATGTTCCTTATTTCTTTTGATTGCTTTCATTCTAACCTTAAATTTTCCACAATAAACCCAGGTAACTAGATGTTATTTCTGAAAATATTTCCTAATCAAGAATATTTGAATATATAAATTATTGAAGTCTATCAACGTATATAATTAAAAATGCAAGAAAATATACCAATTGTGTTAATCTCATTATTTGCCCTTCTTTTGAGATGGTGTATTACATATCACTCCTATAGTGGTCAAGGAAAACCTCCGATGTTTGGAGATTATGAAGCTCAACGACATTGGCAAGAAATAACTTTAAATATTCCAATTGAAAAATGGTACATAAATACAACAGATAATGATTTACAATATTGGGGATTAGATTATCCACCATTAACTGCTTATCATAGTTTTGCAATGGGCTATGTTGCTAATAAACTTAATTCTTCTTATGTAAAATTACATGAATCTAGAGGTTTCTCATCTGAAAATCATAAATATTTTATGAGACTTAGTGTTCTTTGTATAGATATTTTGATTTATATACCATCAGTGATATATTTTATATTAACTAAAAAAGTACCAGAAAATTTTGAAAAAGAAAAATTGTCTATATTTAATTTAAAAGAAAACATATTAATCTTTTGATAATATTAATTTATCCAGGTTTAATATTAATAGATCATGGACATTTTCAATATAATTCTCTATCATTAGGGTTATTTATTAGTGCTATTACAGCTATGTTACAAAATTCTTTTATTATTGGATCATTTCTATTTGTTGCAGCATTAAACTATAAACAAATGGAACTTTATCATGCATTATCAATTTTTTGTTATATACTTGGAAAGTATTCACCAATAAAAAAACAATTTTCGTTATTTAATTTAATAATGTTATTATGTATATCAATTACAGTAGTTTCTACATTTTTTATCATATGGTTACCTTTTATTAAAGATTGGGAAACATTTATAAATGTTGTTTTTCGATTATTTCCAGTTTCTAGAGGCATATTTGAAGATAAAGTTGCAAATATTTGGTGTACGATCAATGTGATTTATAAATTACGTAATACTTTTACAAATAAAGAACTAGCTAAAATTTGTTTAATACTAACTACATTTTCAGTTTTACCAAGTTGTATAAATCTATTCTTAAATCCACAGAAGGAAAGATTTATTATTTCTCTCATTAATTGTGCATTAGCATTTTTCCTATTTTCGTTTCAAGTTCATGAAAAATCAATTTTGCTTGTTGCAATTCCAGTTTTATTATATTTTGAAAGCAATCCATTTCCTTGTTTTTGGTTTTTAATAATTTCACATTTTAGCATGCTACCTTTGTTTATAAAAGATGGTTTATATATGGCATATTGTGCTACATTAATTTTTTATTTCTCATTTGTTTTTTGGACATATCCTGATTTATTGGATAATCAATTACTAAATAATGCTAATTCAAAAAAAAATGTATGTATTATAACTAATCAAAAACGAATTAAAACAAACTTAAAAAATATCAAGAATAAATCAATTTTTACAAAACTAAAAAAAAATATTGTAAATTATAAAAATAATTTTATTTTATTAGGTTATTCGTTTTTCTCGAAAACAATTTTATTTTATTGTTCAGTTCTAGGAATAATAATACTTTCTCTTATTAGTGGTTTTTTAAAACCTCCAAATAAATATCCAGATCTCTTTGCATTATTAATATCTATGTATTCCTGTGGACATTTTATTATTTTCTACTTGTATTTTAATTATAAACAATTTGTATATAAAACAAATATAAATTTAAAATAAACCAAAAAGACAATATAATTTATGTTATATTATTACTATTATCCTTAATATTGAAAATTTTAATAAATTATTAAAATTTATCTTATCTCTAAATATTTTTAATATAATTAAAAAAAATAATATTAAGAAAATTGCATTACAATATATTATAAATAAGGAACATGTTACATAAATATAAATTGTACAAAAATATTTAATATTTATATATAATAATAAATATATATTATTATTTATATATATTATGATCGTTAAAATAAAATATTAAATAATTAATTTTTATATAAATTATTTTTATTAATAATAAATAGATAAATGCATTTTTTAAAATAAATTATATAATGTTTTATAAGAATTTGAACTTTACTCTATTATTAAATAACAATTTACTAAATTAACATAATAATATTGGGCATACAAATTTCAGCTTTTGTGGTTAGCATAAAATGTTATCGCTTGTGTTATGTAAAATTGCTGAAGAACCAGTTTAGTTTAGAATATTTTCGTTCAACTAAAAATTTTTTAAAAAAATTATATAATATATCCATTATAGAATTATTAATATTTTTATAAAATGTGATTTTTATATTTTATATTTTTATACATTATTGTTACAAACAATATATCATTTAATATAAATTTCATTTCAGAAGATAAGGAAGTTTTCAGTAATATTAGAAGAATAAAAATTGTTTTATTTTAATATTTTATTCTATTTTATATTAATTAATTTTTATATTATCTTTAAATGTTACAGGAAGTTATAGATGAATCTGATGGTTGTGGTGCTAAATTTTCTGTAACAATTGTTTCTAGTGTTTTTGAAGGAAAATCTTTACTTCAACGACATAGGTATTATCTTTTTAAAGTTGTAAAAAATTTATTAATATTGCTCTTCTAACATTAAATATATTTATACATTATATTAATTTTTCAGATTGGTAAATTCAATATTAGAAAAAGAACTTAAAACAATTCATGCATTTTCACAAAAAACATTAACACCAGCAGAGTGGAAAAAATAGGAAATGATAAAAAAAAATATCTTTCATTAATATTCAATTTAATTATAATTTATTTTTAAAATAAATTGTTTCATTTCTAAGTTTTATAAATAAAATACAAGAAATTTAAAATGATTCAATTTAAAGTATCTGCACCAGGAAAAGTTATTCTTTTTGGAGAACATGCTGTAGTATATGGAAAAACAGCTGTTGCAGCTAGCATAGATTTACGTACAGTTCTAAATTTTACAGAGTTACCTGAAGCAGAACAAGTTGTTAAAATATGCTTTTCTAAAGTAAATTTATTTATTACTATACCTCTGCAACAAATACAAAATTTCTTTTTTATTAATAAAAACGTGGAATTTATAGAAAATTATGAGATATTTTATAACAAAATAAAAGAATTTGTCTGTATTGTTAGTTATGCAAATTTTCAACAAAAATTAAGTTTAGAAGCATTCTTCTATACTCTTATTTATATTGCACAAAAGGAAGAAATGGAAATAAAACCATTTCAAATTCAATTAAATACAGAATTGGCAATTAATTCTGGACTTGGTAGTTCTGCTTCTTTTGCAGTTTGTCTTGCTGCATGTTTTGTACATTGGTCACGTTTACAAAAAAATATTTATAAAGTATTTGATTTTTCTACTTTAGATATTATTTCAAAATATGCTTTAAACTGTGAAAGAATTATGCATGGTAATCCATCTGGAATAGACAATTGCATCTGTACATATGGATCAATAATAGAATTTAAAAAGGGTAATTATATACAACCAATAAATAATATACAAGCAATGAAAATTTTATTAGTAGATACAAGAGTAAATAGAAGTACTAAAGCTTTAGTTGAAAAAGTATTAGAATTAAAACATACATATCCAGTTATTATTGATCTGATTATGGATTCAATAGATAATATATCAAAAGAAGCAATTAAAATTATTCAAAAATTGAAAACTTTCTCAAATACCAATGAATTTTTTTTGGAAGGATACAAACAATTAATGGTTAGTATTTTATTAAATCTTGATATGTTATTGATGAATTAAAACAGAAAAATTAATTCATTATTTAAAGAAATAACATTTATATGAATTAAAATTTAGAAATACATTAAAATATTGATTGATAAAAAATTTGATATTTTGATATACATTAAAATTTTTTTATTACTTATTATGTATTATTATAGATACTTATTAACATGAATCAAGGACTGTTAGCCACATGTCAAATTTCTCATCCATCTTTGGATAGAATTTGTGCAGAAGCACAAAATTATGGTTTAGCAGCAAAGCTTACAGGTGCTGGTGGTGGTGGACATGCATATATTCTCTTATTACCAGATACACAACCAGAAACTATTTCAAGTATTTCGCGAAAATTAATTGCAGACGGATTTACTGTTAAATTAACAACTTTGGGGTGCTCCGGTGTACAAATTAATTAATGACGTCATTATAAATATTATATACATTGAATATTAGAAATATTGATATTTATGTATATAATCGTAACTAAGATGGTTCAAATGGGAGACCTATTGCCGCTACCACTCTCCTTCTCCCCTCCACTTAATTTATTTTAGTTTTTGTTTTTTCTATTTGACAATTTTAATAATAACAACAGATTTACAATGAAATCAAAATAAAAAGTTTTTATAAAACTGTTTAACGAATATAGAAAATTAGATACAAAAATAAACATTTTTAAAAACATAACAAAACATAAATTTGAAACAGATATTTTGAAAAAAAATTGATTGAAAACTTGATTCATTGAAGATCCATGACTATTTAATTTAAAATTTTTGTAATCTCGTAAATAGCTCTTCTATGTCTTGTGCAAACAAATTTATACACATTAATATATAACATATTTTGATTTTATTTTAACTTTAAATATTTTTTAAATTATTTATAATTACTGACAATAATAGAATATATAACTTTTAAGTAATAATTTTACAAGTGTAAATTGCAATTTTAATATTAATATAAGTTAATTGTCATATTATAATAATTAATTATCATTATTAATGTTTTTCATTAAATATGATTGGTCAAATGCTTATAATATAATTTTGATATTTATAATGTAAAACATAAACTTGAATTATTTATTATAATAATTTACAATGTAAGTAATAAAATTATTTTAAATACATTTTCTAAATTAAAAAGAATATATTAAATTATGTATCAAAAATCATCAAAAAAAAAATAATTAATTTAAATAGTTTAATAAATTATTCAGGCATTTAAGAAATTTAAAAATAATTTTCTTAGGTAAAATATATTACATATATTTAAATATATGCTATAATATGTATTATATAAAAATTATAATTTATTAAACTATAATATATCATATATAATTATTTAAATATAAATATAATTATTTTGAAAATTAGAAATTAATTTTATTATTGACAAATTTGATGAAACTGTTTATAAAAGATTTATTATAATAACTTAATATTATATATTATATATAATATTATAAGTATTATATATAATATTATAACAATATTTTTAATAAAATTATTTATCTCTATTATATCAAAACATAAATCGAAATAAAAGAATTTTATTCTTATAATTATAATTAAATATATTATTGATTTCTTTTTACTTTATACTTTTGATAAGAACCATCATTATTATTTCATATAAACTTTTATATTATAAGTTTTTGATACTTTTTTTAATATATTGTGAACGAATGCAATATGACAATAAATGCAAATTAATTTATTATGACAATTATACAACATTTGATGTATTACGATGTATTTGTCGAGAGTTATCTGTTAATCCTATATAATCTGATTCAGAAATTGCATCTTCTCTATAATTTTCGTCTACATTATGAGTAGTATTTGATAAAAATTGTCTTTCTGTTTGTTTTGCTTCTGCAATCCACTCAGTAATTTCATTAGTATACATTTTTCTTTGTAAAACTTCTCTAGTTCGAGGACGTGATCCAATAAAAACAGTAGTACCCTGAAATATTTTTATATGATTATAATAATTTAAAAAATATATTCTATTTAAAAAAACTTACACCAACTATTAGTGAAGGCCGTAATTTTTCTAAAAGTTGAAAATCTTCTATTATATATTGCAACTCATCCCATTTTAATTCTACCTCTTCATGAAGCATTTTTTCTTCTGTAATGTTCATAAAAAATTAATAAAGGATTCAATGAAAAATATTAAATTATAATAATTGCAAAAAAAAAATTTAATTTCAATACAATTTCAAAAAAATTAAGTTTTTATAATTATTTATATTATAAGAGATTATAATTATGAATATAATAATATAATTACCATCACGTTTAGATGTTGATTTTTTATAATGTATCCTAAATCGAAATGCTTCCAAAAAACTAGATACTACGATAGTTAGAACAATCATAGTCACTAAATAAAATATCATAAAATATATTCGTGTATACATTCCAACAGTAAATGCATATGCATTCATTAGGATAAACCAATTATTAACAACCGTTAATTCAAAAAGAGTCATACCACTAGCTATAAGATTGTCAAAAGTGTTAAGATAATAATATCCTAATGCGGTACTTTCATTAGCCGAATATTTATAAAAATCTTCAACTGTTGTGTTTCTGTATTCAAATATATTATGATGTAATAGTTAATTCAAAAATATAATTATAAAAAAATACTATCCATGTGTACACTTACTTGCAACAATTTCGCATATTATATCCTGCAAATAATTCCATTCCAATAATCGCAAAGAAATAATATAAAACAAGCATGACTACTGCAGTAGAAGACATTAATGGAGTTAAAATTACAAGCGTGCCGAATACATCTCGATATCTCTTTTTCATTTTAAACAATCTCAATAATCGAAGTGGTCTGAATAGAACAAAAAATTTTGCTGTAGGAAAAAGGCATAAAATACAAGCAGCAACAAGAGTCATTATAGATGTGCCCAAATCAAAAAGATTCCATCCAGAACTAAGATATCGTCTTGTACCAAGTCCGAGTACTTTTATTAATGCTTCAGCAACAAATACTATAAAAAATGATTAGTTTTTAAAAATAATACATATATTTACATATTTATATATTCATATATTATTTAATAATACATAATTTTACTCACTTCCTCCAAAAAGAAAAGTATCCCAAGATGCAGCAAACAAAAGTGTACTATGAACATTATTAGCTGGCTCTAGTATCCTTATTATCATGGCAATGCCATTTGCAATAATCATTATGTCTAAATGTTTTTTATAATTTTTAAAAAATATAATAAGTTATAAATTGATATTATATAATTCTTTTTTAAACTTACACATCAAAGTTTCAAAATAAGACCATCTAATAGCAGCATGTGCTCCTGTGCAGAGTATCTGCAAAGGTTGTGATGTACTGTGATACCAAGGCACAGTAGAATATTGTGGCTCCCATTGAAGTATAATAGTATCATAAATATTTAAAAATTCTTCAATACTTAAAACTCCACTTCCAGAAGCATTTAAATGTTGATACATTAAAACAATATCTCTTATATCTAAAAATTTATATAATTATAGAATATTAAATTTAATTTATATTATCTTTTATTAATCCTTTGCAGACGAGTGTCGGCAAATAGCCCCATAGCAAATAGTCCCATTCTCGCGCTGTTACTGGCATACGTCTGTTATCCTTAACGATAAGTTACGTATGAGTATACTAGCTTAAGAAATCAAGTTACCTCTCAATGAAACTAGTTAGTTTTTGAATAAAGCTTTAATTTTTATAACATTAAATGTGAATATTTTCTTTACCATGTGCTCCAATACCTGTCGTCTACAGCGACGCTCGCCTGTCGAACGGCTTCGTCCGCAAAGGGTTAATAAATTTCTATAAATATATTACATACTTTTATTTGGAGCATAGTATCGCATTAACCCTTCAAATTGACGAAATCGCATTTTATCCGGGCTTTGTTTGGAAACTAATAATTTAAAGGCATGTTGACATGCTTTTCTTTTATGTAAAAACAATTTTTTAAATTTATCACGTTCAGCTGCCGTAAACGTTTCATTAACTACTGCTAACATCAAATTCATCATTACGTACAACATTGTAGATAAATAAGATACAAAATATATAGCATACCATTTATTTTTTGAATATGAAGGCATCATTACATCTGGAAAACTAAATACCGGAATTATTATTAAAATTTAATTATAATTACAAGCATAATAAATTAAAAATATTATAAAAAATTTAATTATAAAACAATACTTACTTAGCAGTAGTAAGAAGAACAAATAAACTCACAAAACTATCTTGTAATGTAGAAAAATTTCTATTCATTTCGGAAAACATGTAATATCCCAATACTGTATAAAGTGTTATGAAAAATAAAAGCAAGCCTAGCATATCTAGAATTGGAGGTAGTGTTAAAAGTATTTGTCTAATAAATCTTCTAACACCTCCAAAACATTTAGTATCTACTAAAAAGATAGGCCTTAGAGCACGTGTTACACGGAAGTGTGATGACTGTCGTACTAATACTGTCATTGCTTCTAAAAACATGATGACCAATGTGATACACTGTAAAAATGATGTAAATATATAATTTTTATGGTTAAAAATTGTGGAATACAAAAAACTTTCATTAGGTAAATTTTTCACTTTATTTAATATAAAAGTGAAATAGAAATATACAAAAATATATAGTCATAAGAAATAATATCATAATTAATATAATAATTTATTTATATATATTTTCTCATGTCTTTCTTTATTTAATATTAATACAATTCTTTTAATTTAGAAAAAGAAACTATTATTGATAAAAAATCAAACATTTGCAAATATTTAAATGCACATATCTTTGAAATATTAAAATAGTTAAGAAAAATTATATGACAAAATTCATATAATTTAAATAATAGAAATATAATTTTTATATTAAAGAAAAATATTAAGAAAATATTAATATTCTTGTTTTTTATTAAAATATAATTAAAATAGAATAATGTAATCATTAATATATATATATATATCTATTACTTCTATAAGATCTCCCAATAAAGATATTAATATATTATAAATAAATAATTAATATAATTATTGTTATCTCATTTCATTAAAAATGTAATCTAAAATAGTTTGTAGTTGTTATGTTACTTATCTTCTCATTAATATTCTTTGTATTAATATTCTGAATATCTCATTAATATTTTTTGTATTAATATTCTGAAATATATGCAACTGCTATATTGACATATTTACAAAATAATGGAAAAAAACTATACTTCAATCTTATGATATTCAATTTAAAAGAAAATTATTAAATGTAAATATAATTTATTATATCAAAATATAAAATATATGGGAAAGTTTATATAGTATAATTGTATAAACTTAAATTCTATAAAATTTTTATATAAACTATTAAATTGTTTTACCTTCAACATTGTTCGTTTGTGTTTTAACATGGTTGACCACCCAATCCATCTTAATTTCAAAGCTAATTCTATGCCTATAATTATTAAAGCAAAAAGTTCTATAGATCCATGTACCCATACTGGTATCTAAAATTAAAATAAATAAACAATGTAACAGAAAGAAAATATTTTCCTTCAATATTAATGACTTACTTGAAACATTGGTACTGCTGGCTCTTCTGCAAGAGCCAAAATCAAAAGTATAAGGGAAGTTAATAAATCTAATCCATAATACCAATTATTATGAACTAAGAGATATGCTGGTAAATCTTCTGGATGTTTTGGATGAGAATCAAACTTTTCATTATTTCTGCCTTCCTATCAAAATAATTTCTTATAAATAATATTTTATATTTAAAATAATCATTATAAATATACTACATATATATATAATTATATATATAAATACATACACTATATATAATAGAAATTATATATATTTTAAACTAAATAATAATGTTATTAATGCAAAGAAGATAATATTATATATACCTCTAAGAATATTGCAGCTTCATGATAATTCATTTCCCAATGTAAATCATGATCTGTTAACGAATCATGCGATGGAAGTACAGCATTTTCAGACATATTTTCTCTGAGCACATCATCTGTTTCAAATTTATGAATAAAGTGATCAGTCTTTATATTTTCAATAGAATTTACATGATTTTCTGTAGAAGAACATGATAACATAGATCCATATTCTATAATAACAAAATAAACAAAAAATAATAAATAATAAAAAAAAAAATATAATGTAAAAATATAAAAAATATATATAAATTTTAAATAGTAAAAAAATAATATAAAATAAATATCTTTTATTATGATGATAATATTAAATATTATATATGTATATACATTTAATAATTCAAATATGTTCTTAATTAATAAATTATATATACTATTATATAATTTATATTAAAGATTAAAAAATGTATAATTGTTAGAGTGTAATTTGGTGAATATTATAAGTTAAAGATGCCTAATAAAAAAATGACAATAGCAATATATAGTTGTCAAAATATAAAACTTTCATTTTATATGTTTATAAAAAATAAAATTATAGAAATGAAAGAAATTAAAATTTACTTTGACATGATCGATGCGAAATATTTTGTTCGAGTGATATATTAGCATCATCGTTAAAATGCTGATAATTGCCTGAATATTCATTAATTTTAGGAGAAGACATTTGAGAATATGTCACATGTCACATATATAAAAAAAACAATACATTTATTGTATTAAAATATTTGTATATACTATTTTGATTAATTCTGTTCAATGATGTCACTATTTAAAAGCTATACACTGATTGGATTAGACCAAAAATATTGCTTGATGACAATATATGACAATATATGCATATTTTTGTTTGAAAGATATTTCGCATTATAGTATTACAATATTATTCGATCTTACATTTGACGTTCTAATTTGTAGTGCGCATGCGCATTTATAAAAAATAAACTTAAGTACTACTAATTTTTTATTTTTACATTATTACTTATATTCTTCATATGTATTAAATAAATATATATAAATTTGATCATTTTATATAACATGAAAATTATATTTTTATATCATTTTTCTTCTAAATTAAATATATTTATATATACAACATAATTGTATATACATATGTACATATGTATATATGACGATATATAATTAATAATAAAATAATATAATTTGTATTCAAAATATTATTTCAATAAAATTAAATGTAAAAATAAAATCAAATAAAGTCAAATTGAAATGAAATAAAAAAAAATCTTTTTGAAATAATTAAAAATCTTTATAATTAAAATAGGAAGATAATAAGAAAATACTTTATATTAATTTTTATATTTATTCTGTATTTGTATTCAAATCACAAAAAATTAGAATTTTAATCTGTGTGGATATTGACTACTTCTTAAGCCAAACATTGCTGATAAATAGGTAAATAACATTTTTTTCTCCTTATTTCTTTTGATAGCAGAAATCACAAATTTGTCAACCACTTTTTGATCAGCTTTTCTCTGATCACTTGGTTTATATTCATCTTTCTTTTTGCTAAAAATATCACCTTCTTCCTTTTTTGCACGTTTCTCACGTTTTCTCTTAAAATAATCATCATTAACATGAGAAGGAATTTTCAAACCAGAAATATTAATACGTGTAGAAGTAGCTATTACATAGTTTTGACTAACTCTACGAAGTGGACAAGCATTGATCAAGAAAGGACCTATATTAAAAAATATTTTATTAGAATTTTAATTGTATAATATAAATAAAAATATAATATAAATAATTTACCTGTGATTAATAGCAAACCACTCTTAAGCTGTTTTAAGAAAACAACACGTTTTCCTTTATGAGCACCAGCAAGTAAAATACAAATCGTTCCTGGTTTCAAAGATGGTCTCAAATAACGACGGTGATCGCGAAAACATTTTTTAGCATGATGTACAGTCACTGGATCTGCAGTAGGATAATTTGCACGCCTTTTCTTTAATAATACAATACGTTTTTCTCCATTTTTGTCACCACTAATTTTTTTTTCAATAGTAATTGGTTTCTTAGGTTTAACCTGATATTAATAATATTATAATTAATTAGTATATTTAATAAAGTATTATATATAATACAAAATGAATAAAAAATTATATAACAACATACACTTTTTGGAGTTTTTTTGCTAAGAAATTTATAAATGGCTTTTTTATGAAACATACGAGTACGACTAAATCTATAAACACCATTTCCTAAGTCATAGTTCCTTGGTCTAATTCGACCTTTCTTTTCACCTTTTTTAACAGAAGAAACATCTTTCTTCTCAGAAGATTTTGTTTCGTTTGTTTCCTTTGTATCAGTCATCTAAAAAACAAATACAAGTTAATTATAACATAATTGCTTACTTATTATTTAAATAGAATGATTATCAAATATTTATGATTTATTTAAATATTTATTTTAAATAATAAAGAAATATTATAATTGTAGTAAAATATACTATATATTTAGGAAGTTACAATATAATTTTTTTTAATTCTATTTCTATTAACGTAATCTTTTATTAAACATATTTGTCGTGTTTTATAAAGGTTATGTTATATTTTTATAGTTTTACATTTGACATATAAAAAATTAATTAATACAAAATTGGAATAAAATTTTTTCAAGATATTGTTAAGATTTTAAAATTAAAAATATATATATTATTTTTTCTTTTACTTTTTAATCATCAAAATGTCATTTTAATCTTCTCAAACTTAAAATTTTAAAACAAATAGTTTCATAAAATATTATGATTAAGAAAAAAATATAATAATTTTATTAAAGAAAATGTTTAAAATACAAAAAATTTTATAAAATATATAATTTTTCTTTTATCATAATAGAAGATTACTTTGATAATATTATATCCGTTGATCTCATTCCATCTTACCGTAAATCGTGCAGTTAAAAGAACCTATGTTCTATCTTTACTTATTGGCTGTATACTATATTCCATTCTCGATATATATCTATCGATAAGAATACATCGATTGTACTCGATAATTATTACTTTAAAATATAGTTTATTAAGCAAAAAAATATCATTATTTATATAATTTTTTGTTTTTATAATTTTAATAATTAATATTTTTCAATATCTGATTAAAATAAATTAAATTGGTCATAACTTGCATATTATACATTTTCGATATCTAAAATCGATTTCAAAATTTATCTCGCATTTTCATAAATATTCTGTATTTATATTTAATTAAGTAACATGAAATAATTTATTATAAATATAGCAAGTTTGTTATTGAAAATTAAAATATAAAAGATATTATTTATTCAATTATTTTTATAAAAAAAAATATTAAAAGATACATATTAGAATAAAAAAGATAAAAATTCATAATATTTTCTGGTAATTTTATTTCCATTTATTGAAGAAATGTTTTTCAATTTTATAAATTCTTATTATAAATTATTTTTATATTTGTTATAAAGATACTTTTTGTATGTATAAAATATATATAAATATAATTAATTTAATTTTAAAATATTTTGTTTGAATAATATATTTATTTAAAAAAATACAAATTATAATATAATGAATTTTATTCAATATGATTTACAGAATTTATATATATATTTTTTTTACTAAACAATAATTTCGATTTAATATAAAAATTTTAATAATCTCATAACAAATATATTATACTTAATTAATTTCTTATATTTAAATAATGTATATTCATGTAGAGTTGAACATACATATTTGCTCTTAATCATTATTTTATGAGTCTTACATTTATCTTATACAAATACTATAAATATATTTAATTCACGATTATAAATATAAAATATTTAATTAATTTTTAAATTACTTTTTAATTCATTTAACAAGATAGAACCTATTACCATTTTTTCGCAATTAACACAGATTTCGAGACATTCATTACTTATAATTTTTATTGTCACTAATACCAAGGATTTCGATGCTAAAGTGTAGGCAGCAAATCTACAAAAATTAAAAGAAATAATATTGAAATGTAAATAAAATTTCAATTTCATCATAATATGTTATTTAATAACTTTTTTTAAAATTAATTTACTTGTATAATAAAATTTTTATTTTACCTGATTTCTTCATCATTATTAGATATCATTGCAACATTTGCAGTTTCAAAAATTTTTTGAGAAATAACATTCTTATTCCCTGAATATTGCACTTTTGCTACATGTTCATTCATACCCTTTAATTTAGTTTTTTCAGTTAAAAACATATTTTCTGGCAAGAGTATGGCTCTTATTATTTCTCCAATTGGAGCTTTAATAATAACAGGGCATGAATTTGTGTCATCTCCAATTACAAAGTCAATATTAAAATTAGCTGATTGTGTAGAATCATTAAAATTAATTCCTAATGTAGAAGATAAATTTGAATTTATTTCTAATAATGGTATTTTCGTAAAATCATGTATAAGCATTCCTTTTGGTAAATTCTGAAGAAAAAAAGTAAAATACAATTAGAAATACTTATAAAATATTAAAAAATAATAATTTCATTTTTATATAATATAAATTTACCTTTACTCCCATTTGTATTTCTTTAACAGGTTCATTTCCTTCATTTGAAAATGTTAATTCAATAGTAACTAAATAAGCACTTACTAAGTGCTGTGATCTAGTAAATCTATACTCAATTTTTAAACCATGACCTGTAATGCTATTTAATAATTCAGATTTCCTTATAGGAATAAATGAAGCTGAAACTTCTCTGATATCGTTTGTAATATTCAAATTGATAGGTGTAAGAAGACCACCTGTGCTTAACGGCATAATCGGTGTCATTGGAATCACTGAAATTAATAAATAAAATTTTCAATTAAATATTATAATATAAAATATATGAATAATAAATATGTCTTTTATTTTATTTTTTACATTATTTTTATTATAATATGTAATTTTTTCCTTCGCAAAATATACATCTATAATTGAAAATAATACAGTCGAAAAAATAAAATGTAAATTCACCGATATTGTGTGTCAAAATGAGTTTCTATTTTCTTTATAGTACTATATTTTACCATCATCTAAGTCTAAAAGGAGATCAATGTTGCTTTTTGGTTTTTCCTTTGCTTCTTCACTTAAAGTCTTATATTTCGTTTCTTTACTTTCTTGAGAATTTGTAGATGAATCTTCAGAATCTGATTCTTCACTTTCAGTTTCGCTATTTGATTCATCAGATATTTTTACAGATTTCTTTTTCTCACTATCAGTTTCAGATTTTCCAGATTCCGATATATATTCAGACGAATCGCTTTCTTCATCTGAAGAATCACTTGTAGTATCTGAAGACTCATTTTCATTATTCAATTCTATTAAAAAATATATTACATGTTAATAAATATATATATAAAATTAATATAATTTTTATTAAATAAATTTTATTTTACAATTTTAATAATTTGAAAATATACCATCTGCTTGAACACTCTCTTCATCGCTGTAAAAAGGTTTCTCTTTTTCTTTTCCTTTTTTGTCTTTTTTATCTTTTCTATAATATTCATCTCTTGTATCTCTCATAATACTATTTGAAACATCTCTTAGAGATGGATCAGGAGCTACATCAGGGAAAGATGGCAAAGGACGATAACCAGCACATGGCATATCCAAATAATGAGATAATGTACCTAACTGATATTCAGAATTCTTGAATCTAGATGTTAATGTTGGTGCAGGTTTTGGAGCTAGAAATATTCTTTTTGCAAGCTGTGGGAGATTTTTTTTATGACCATCTTCATCAAAAATAAAATGTTTTAAGAAACGTGCACGATCTCTAATATCATAATTTTGATCATATTTTGCAAGTTGGAAAACATATTGACAAAATGGTTTAGTTTGAATAGGATTATTTAAATATAGCTTTACAGCTAAATTTAATATTTGTAATTTCACAATATCTTGTTCATTTACAAAATTTTTGGCCATTTTTCTAAGCACATCTGGTGCTATCTTAGGGACTCTATCTGAATATTCTCCTAAAAGCCATAAAATTGATGCTCTTGCTTGTGGTATAGTTATGAAATCCATTAATTTTGCCATGTGAGCAATTATATTTTTATGTTCATTTGATTGAGTTTGTAACAACTTTTTTATAACAACAACACTTTCTGCTACAACAGCCTCTGAATAAAAAATATATTTTAATTTTTGTATTGTTACATAAACAATTATATTGTATAAATACTACATTTCAATGTATAATTTTATATTTTATAAAAATATTAAAAAAATTTCAAGATTAATAAATTTAAATTATAAAATCATAATTATAAAATTATAAAAGACATCATGCAACTATTCTAGTCTCAAATATAGAAATATAGAAATTCATGATTATTATCAACATGATATTACTTCAACATAATAACAATATATAAATCATTAACATAAAGTTTCTAATTAAAAAACAGTTCAATTATATATATATATATGTTATTAATTTTTCTTTTTATTTTAATAAGTACTATTTACACATGATATGTAGTATAAATACATGTAAATATATAAAATATGAACATGACTTCTTATATAAGTACTTTATATAAATATTTACCATCTCGATTACTTAATAATGAAACTAATCCATTCAAACATGTATCAGTCACTTCTTTTATATTACTTGCACATCTTCCAATTGCTTGTATACTTGCTCCAACAAATTCTTTATCACTACTAGAGATATAAGTTTGAAATTCTCTTAATATAACTCCAATGCTAGTTTCAGTTGCTAAATTAGTCAAAATATCTAATTTCAGAAGCTTTATGTGAGTAGGATCTGAAGTTCTCACAAAAAATGATTTAAGAAAAGGTTCAAACATTCCCTGTATATGTAAACAATAAAAATCATAAATTATATTAATTTTTTATTATAAAAAGATAGTTTGTTAATTATTTTAATAACATTTATATAAATTGATATTAAAATGTATTTATCAATCGTGTATTTAAAAATTATTTTTCAATAATTACATTAGTACTTACATTACCTTTCTGGCAATTGATATGCTAGCAATACAATGAAGAACTATGCTTTGAACTTCTCTGTGACCTCTTAATAATCTGATTAATGCTTTGGCAGCAATCATTACTTCACTTCGTGGTGCTGTATGATGATATAATTGAGATACTGCCATTACTACAGAAGCATTTCTGCTTTGTAAAAGAGGTTTTGTATTTCGTAATAATAATCGGTGATCTGGATCTATTGTTAATTTTGGTTTCTTTGTATTAGACGAATCAGAATCAGAATCATAAAATGGACGATTTTCATCATCTTCTATATTCTATGACAATCAATTTCAAAAAATATAAATCTAATATATAATTATTATTATATTATAAATATTAATTCGTAATTTTGGAAAATATACATACATCTATATTAGGATTAATAAATTGTGTTCTTGCATATCTTGTAAGCATATTGACTATAACAACCTGACCCCATTCATCAACATCAACTAATAAATTACAGAGTTTCCTATAATTTTTGTGTATCAAATCTATTCTTTCAGGACAAACTTCTTCAAATGCCATCACTGCAGAACCTACAACAAGAGTTGTTTTGTCGGATAATAACTTTTCTAAGACACTTATTAACTCTTCTTTTTGTTCAGAATCTAATGAATAAAGTTTAGGAATAGCATGTGCTGCAGTTTTTCGGACATATGGTGACATATCACTTGCTGAATCTTTAATAGCAAGCATCACTATAGGCACTATCATAGAAACTCGTATACTTGAAAGTACTCTTAAAGCACTGGCTCTTATTAATTGATTAGGATCTTTTAATGCTCGTTGAAATGTAGAAATAGATAAAAGAGCAAGATCTTGTTGATCTTCTGCATAACGGACCAAATAAACATAAACTAATTTTTTCACTTCAATATTCTTTGAGACAACATTTTTTACTACTGCTGGAAATAATTCTGATGCATCTCTTCCCTTTGCTATCATCTGAAAATTTATTTTAAAAATTATTTTTTAAAATAATTTATTTTATTTTTTTTTCAAAATAAAATTAAGTTAGATTGAAAAATTAAATATATCAAATATACAATAATTATAAAAAATATTTATATTCTTATTTTTCAATAAAGTGATGTGACTATTTTAGTTATAAATTACTCACTTTTTATATGAATATTATTTTATATATAATTCTTAAATAATAAAAATATTCTTATAAAAAATTAAATAATACAAATAAAATTAATGATATTAATTTATAAAAATAAATATAAAAAATATAAAAAAATAAAATATAAAAAATTTATTACCCCAATTATACGTTTCATGGCTTCTAATTTAAGTCCATCCTTATTACTATCTAACATTTGTTTTAAATCTTCATGCCTGAAAAAAATATTCCCTTTAGACAAATAATTACATTTATTTGTGTATTAATTAAAATTTTATATGAATAAGATAATATATTTAATAATAATCAATTTTATGATATTAATAAAATTTAAAAAATTCATAATATAATTAAAAATATATGTGTGTATTTTTTTTTATATTTCAAATATATAATATATAAAATTTAAAAAAATAACATAATAATAGAAAAAGGATTATAAAGTTAAAAAATATAATATTAATAAATTTTTTCATTCATTTCATAATATTTCAAATGTGTAAATTTGAACATAGTAAAAAAAAAATGTTAATAATACTCTAAACTTTAAATTAAAATAATTAAAATATACAAAAAATAAATTATTTTAAAAAAATATGTTAAATTTCTAACTCAAAAATATATTAAATTTTTCTGTAATAAATATTTTTTAAGAAATTATTATATGAATATTTTAGAACAAAATGTTTATCATTAAAATATTACTTTTTATAATCCGAATGAAAAAATCCACCTGAAGCAGGATCAGTTGCGAGTTCTGCATCTGCTGTATTTGATGGTCTATCATTGCTGTAAGATCCTCCGTTATTTGATAATGAGTTTGCAGCAGCAGTTAACATCTTTTTTTTTTTTTTTACTTAAATTACAATAGTTCTTTTTTCTTATTCCAATTACACAAACTTTATTCTAACACGAACAAATCTTTAAAAATTTATTACAAGATGATTCAGTAAACATTAACAGACACCCATGTTGCTTAGATCTATTTAGATTTGAGCTACTATTCCTACGTATTCCTGTTTTATATATCGAAATGTATCGAATAAAAATATTTAAAAGTAAAACAAAAAATATAATTGTTTTCTTTATTAATTGTTTGCAAATAGTCTCGTTTCGTTCATTTTATTATATAGAAGTTAAAATTAAGAACTATAGTATTTCTAAAATAATGATTGAAAGAATAAAACTGTCACAGTTATACGCATTACGTATAAGTTACTAGAAACCATACTTATCTTTTATTCAAGAGCGGGAATATTAAATTACAATAAAAAAGTTATCGATTATTCGATTATCGTTATTAATTATTTTATTTTTTTTTGTAAGTATTATTATTTTATTACAGAGATTATTATTATATATTAATATTATGAAATTATATATAATTTTAAAAATTAAACATTAATATATATAAAAATAACAAATGGAATTAAATATTTATAAAAGAATGTAATATATACATCTTTTTCTTAATAAAATATATTATAATTTTAATTTGAAAATATTAAATAATGTACAATATTAAAAAAATTTTATAATTTTATAATGTATTCTTATTATTTGTTGTTTGTTTATTAATTGTTATTATTTGCATGTTTCTAAAATTTTTTTATATATAAATACAAAAATAATATAAATATTTAGATTAAATAATATATTATATAAATAAAAATATATATATGAAATGGCTTATTTAAATCCTTTGCTATTGAAATGAAGATTGTATATTTTTATATGTTTGATTATATGAAAAGAATTTTAAAATTTTTTTATATTTTTTCATCTCATCATTATCAGAATTTTTATTTTTTTGCTATGCAACAATTTCACAACTATCTTAAAATATCTATTGATTTGCATTTGATCTATATAAAATAAATATTTTTTATTTTTATTATATAAAATAAATATTTATTTAAATATTTATATTTAAATTTCAAAAATAATAAAATAAATAATAAATATATATATTTCACAAAGTAATTTATTTATTTATGACTTATATTAATTTAACCCTTTGATTGTAGATCATCTATTAATAAAGTGTATGATTTTTAAAAATCTTTTTTAACATTTTACATTCACAAAACAAATAATTATAGAATGTATAATATAAAAAAATACATAGTATTAATGTACAATATTAGCATCGAGTAAATTTAAATAGATGCCATCAGCAATCAAAGGATTAAAATTATGAAAAAGTTTATTTTGTATGACACTATAATACAAGTTTGTCTAGTTTATTGGTATATTGTATATTGCCAGCTAACAGAATAACAATTTGTTTTTACAGAAAGTTTGCTAAGAATTTTTTTTTCCTTCATCTACTTTATTACAATCCCTTTTTTGTTGTTGTCTTATGGCTGAATTCAAATCTTCTTGACAATTAGCATATGCCATACCTAATCCAAAACCTGCACCAGTTATAATAGGCCACTTTCTTCCTATAAAAAAAAGAATGTGTTTATATTATTTTATAATATAACAAAATATAATATATATAATATATATTCACACATATGAATAATATATATTCATACATTTAATTATAATATTTAAAAAATTAATAATACGAATAATTATAAAAATAATATGAATAAAATTTATATATACCAATAAATTATAAAATTTCAATTTTATAATTAAAAATTTAATAAATAACTAAATATTTATATTTTTTTTTATTACTTCAAATTGGAAAATCGCTCACTATAAAAAGAAGATAACTTAGAATACTTAACCTATTTCATGTTCGTAACGAAAAAATTTTCATTATTTAAATATTAAAATTGATAAAAATATTTATCTAAAAATATAGAATTATACGAAATTAAATTAATAATATTATATGATCTATATTTTTCAGTCAAAAATTACATTATTTTAATTTTTATTTTAACATCAGAATTGTATTTTCTATTAAAAAAATAAATTAATTAAATCTGTTAATACATTAAATATTTTAACTAATATCTTAACTAGAAAATATATAAAGATTTTTATTCTAAAAAATTTTTTAAATGGATTAAAACTTACGTTTGAAAAAAAATAAGGAGAATACTCCACCAAGAAGAATTCCTCCTCCTATAGAAATGTCGTTATCATTAACCAACAAGAAATAAATTTAATATCTTTTCAAAATCCATCGGTTATAATTACTAGATGATAATTACCAAATTTAAATATAGCATCCGTAAAACATCGATCCCACTTTCGTCCAATTTCGTCCTCAACCCAAGTAGCCATTTTTCTTACATTAAAGTAGATCTATGATATTGAATGTTATGTCATATAACAGTCTATGATCATTGGGGAAGAATGATAATAAAATTATCGATTATTTATGAAAATAACTTTATAGGGATTCAATATTTTTTTGATGAACAATATTTTTTTCAATATTATATGTGAATGTATAATATAATTAATGACAACGAAATCAATGTAATTATGTAGTTTCCATTTCAATCAAACAAGAGAGTATATAGAGATATGCTATTACATATTGATTTAGGTTATGACAAAATGTATAAACAATATTTTATCATAATTTTATATATTATTAAATTTTATGAAATTTTTTTTGTTAATAAGTAATTGATTTACTCTATAAACTTATTGATTTTATCGAAAATCATTTGATTTTCGTAAATTTTGTAAGTTTTTAAACCATTCATGGCGATACGAACAATTTATAGTAACAATTTATACTAACTCATATGATTAAAAAATAAAATCACTATTTAGTTTCATAATTTACTACATGAAATTCTTGTAAAAATCCTTAACTACATATAAAAAGAAAATTTTTTATATAAAAATAATTGTATACAATTTAATACAATTGAATGATTAACTTCAAAAAATATAATTAAAAAACATATAATTGCTCTTCATTATTATTTTTATTTTTTTATTTCATTAATAATTCTTCTTAAAGTGTTAAAAAAACAAAAATTTAATATAAAATACTAATAAATTACAAACTGATAATATGAAAAAATAATCTGTTAAATACTTGTTAAAACAAGTATTTTTATTACATATGTTAACATTCATAATTTGATTTCAAAACAATTTTTACATATTTAACATTGTTTGTAATAATATAATAAGTATTTCTTTTGTTTTATCTTTTAAAAGTATAGGAATATTAAAAAAAAGTAAATATTGAAAAAATAAAACATGTTTTAACGCCCTCTTATAATCGATTCTATTCTATCTTAGTAGAGCATTCTAAAAGTTAATTTCACTGTGTATTGTGTATACTCTTTTTGACAACATGGTTGTCCAGAAACATCGCTATAATATTGCAATAAAAGAGTTTTCGAGTCAAAAATAACCAAAATTGTGTTGAACATGTTTGTTAAATATTGCAAATCAAAAAAAGGATAGTTTTAGTCAATATAGATTTCATGTTAAAGTGCTGTAAATCTAATAGATACATATTCATGTTAAAATTGCGTCGCAAATAATGTTATCGATTAATTTTTTAACTTCTGAGTCAATAAACAAAAGATTAAATAATATTAATAGAAAAGCAAGTTATATAGAATTATTAATGAAGTTTTCATTTTTTATTGTGATTTTTATTGTAACAACCTATCTCTTATCATCGGTTAGTGGAAGCGAGTCATTGGGAAATCCATATAAAATATTAGGTGTTCACAAACGTGCAACTTTACAAGAAATTAGAAAAGCATACAAAAATCTTGTCAAAGAATGGTAAATATTATATTGTATTATTATTTTATAAATTGATTCTAATTTTTTAGTTTAATTTTTCTATATTTTGCAAATGAATATATTGAAAATATATTATATATTATATATTATATTATAAATATATATTATAAAAAAAAAGAAATTCTTATTTAAAATAATATATTTTATTCATATTGTATTAAAATATACAATTATTATGTGTATTAAAATATGCATAAATTATTTAAATATATTCAAGGATTATATATATTATATTTATTTATTTAAATAATTTGAAATGATCATTTAATTTTATTTATAATATATTATATTATTTATAATATGAAAAGAATTTTCATATTTCTTAGAATATATAATAATGCAAGAAGTTATATATACAGAGAAAGTTATAAAGCATTGCAAAGTTTTTTTCTCTAGTACTATTATAAATAATCTTTTCTTTAATTTTTTATTTATATTAAATAGAAAAAAATATTTGAAATGAATGTTATTAGTTTAATATTTATTATTTATAGCTTGATATTATTTAATTATTTCATAAAAAATGTACCATTCCATTTAAAAAAAATAAAGTGTTTTAAGATATATTCTTTTAAAAAATTATTATATTTATGTTTATTATATTTAATATCTATAATAATTTAAAAAAAACAGCTAGTAACACTATATGACTTATTTTATTATATTTTATATATATTTGTATTAAAAGTATAATTATTTGAATTTATATATTTAAAGATAATTTTTTTTTAATATTCATATCCTCTTAGGCATCCAGATAAAACTGATCATCCAGGTGCAGAAAATAAATTTGTAGAAATTACAAAAGCTTATGAGGTAAAATAATATTGATAAATAATATGATATAAGTTCTTTTTTATCAAAAATCTTTTATATTTTTTGTTTCTAGATTTTAACTGATCCAGAAAGAAGAAAAAAATTTGATAATCATGGAATTACAGAAGAAAATATTTCTAGACAACGAAGAGATAATAGTCACTTTAATAATGTTTTTGATCCATTGGAAGAATTATTTGCCAGAAATTTCAAATTTCATTATCAAAATCGAGATATTTCTCTTTTTTATAAAATGAGCATCACATATCGGTTTGTTTCACTTAAAAAATTAAAAAAATCTATTAAAAGGGCTATAAATTAATAGCAAACATATATAATTATTTTAAATGTGAATGTATCACTTTCTACAGATCATTTGAAAATGTAATAATACCAAAAACTTTTCGTACACCTTATCTGATATTATTTTATTCGGATTGGTGCTTTGCATGTTTGCAAATAGAACCAACATGGCGACGCTTGATCGATGAATTAGAACCATTGGGTCTTGGGTTAGCAACTGCACATGCTGAAAAAGAATCTGCTTTAGCAAGAAAGCTAGGAATTCATTCACTACCATGTCTTGTTGTCACAATAGATGGTCGCACAAGTGTATATAAAGAATCTCTTTTTAGCATTCAGAAAATTGT